TATGAGGAATATCAGCACAATTTAAACAAGTGTTTTACTAATGTTATGAGGAATATCAGCACAAGTGTTTTAGGTGTGTCACGAAAGAGATGCTAACCTTTCTAAAAGCAGCACAAAGCTATTTGTCACTCCAATAATATACAAAGTCATTAGAATACAGTGATTCAAGTCGATATGGATCAGTATTTTTTATTTGTGAGCATCACAAAGCTATTCTTTAAAATACACTAAACAACAACTAGGATAAAGTATATTGACTAATACAAATTATACATAGCAGACATAATATTCAATACAAATAATGGATTGAAATATGTAAATATTTCTTTTCTCCCTGTAGGTAACTCTACAGATTTACAACCCTAAAATACGGGGTTCAGTTCCCCGCGGTGGGCATACCAGATATCCCAATGTGGCTTTGCTCTAAAATAACAAACAAACAAATATACAAATCCTCCCTATATAACAAACCCCTTATTGGTAGTGATTCATACGTTATAAGTATTGCATGACAGAAATTGATATAAACAGAGAAACATCAGCCCTAATTTTGTAGTATCAAAGTGACATCACTTGATCAAAAGTGAGATGTGTATAAGTAGAAGTTTGATTGAGGACAATAGCACTGGAATGTTGATACTTGACTCTGATACTTAATTTTGTTGTATCAAAGTGACAGCACTTGATCAAAAGGGAGATGTGTATAAGTAGAAATTTGATTGAGGACAATAGCACTGAGATGTTGATACCTGACTCTGATACTTAATTTTGTAGTATCAAAGTGACAGCACTTGATCAAAAGGGAGATGTGTATAAGTAGAAATTTGATTGAGGATAATAGCACTGGGATGTTGATACCTGACTCTGATACTTAAATGCTCATCCTCAAAAATCCTGTTTATCTTTGATACTTAAAAACTGTTGGTAACGACGATTGAAAATACTTTCCCAGTTGCAATAATCATTTCATAATAATTTCACCAGCATTTACCTCACTTCACGAAACATTAACTTTACAAATTAGTTTTGAGTTATTTTCATGAACAGCATTTCCAACGATACGTGACTTAACTGATATTAATGGCGACTCTAACAATACATTAAATCTTTTGACTCATATCCTCAATATATTACAATGTACAAAACTGATTAATGAGTCCTTGTCGTGAATTTAATTTGTTGTTGTTAATTTAAGTGGTATAAATCCATACTGGAAACGTTATGTAACGACGCAACCTTTAAAACACTTAGAAGGCATTTATGTCAAACTATACAGAAATATAGAATATTATTAAACTTACGCAAGTGTTTACTACGCTATGTAACAAGCACAATATTTGTTTGTATAATTCCTACCATCTAATTTTAATACCTATAGTAGTTACCATGACAACCAGGGCACGTTCCCAAAAAACTATACATTAAGAACTTCAGACAAAAAATAGCAAGCCAATTATGCAGCTTAGAACTAAATATTCTAAAATATCATGTTGATCATAATATGTAGATCATAACTATAAAATAATCCATAACTATTGATAAAAATAATCCAGTCTGATAGATATACTTAATGTTATAAAGTAGGTGGATACAATGCAAGAATTAAAATCATACTTTTCGTTTGGATGCCGCCAGTCTCTGATCCCTACCATCCTCTGCTTCTCCGGGGGTGCGCTTACCCCAAACCACCATGGCTATTCTAGTGTAGGTAAAAATGAGTACCATCAAAGGAAGAAAGTACTGGAGCGTCATCAGAGACATCCCATAATAGTAACGCTGTTCTGGAGGATCCCAGACCTCAGTGCAATGGTAACCATCTGAGCTCTTTGCTGCCACAAGTCGAGAGACTATAGCAGTGGGGAGTGGGGTGATGATCGCCACCGCCCATACCAGAAAGATCAGTAGTTTTGCCTGTAGCTTTGTCATCCGTGGTCTCAGCGGTTTTATGATGGCGATGTACTTGTCAACGCTGATAGCTATCATGGTGTAAGCACTAATGAACACCGACACAGCTTGGGCGTAAGTGACCACAACACATAAGGTTGTGCCAAATGGCCAGCGGTGAAGAATCAAGTTGACCACAAAAGTAAAAGGAATGCATAAGATGGCCATCAACAGGTCTCCCACGGCTAAGTTGACAATAAAATAATTGGTGACTGTGCGCATGCGCCGATCAGCAAGTACGATGTAACATACTATTCCATTTCCACCTACAGCAGCGAGAGAAATGGTTGTGTACATAACATACATAAGTGCTTGAATACCTTCCGGAACGGAGTAGTTTTCCGTTGAAGTAAAGTTGCTTTCTTCTTTTTCACTATCCGTCCAAATTATAAAGGAAACATTCAGCTGAGGCTCTATGGACATGTTCCACCAGGTGGCGTTCTCAGTAATCATGGTGAATATCAATTTGTTGGCTTTACAAGAAGAAAATGTTAACCCTGTCTAAGCTTATAGGATGTCTTCTTTAACATAATAATTTTCTTCCTAAAAATATTACAAAGTATTAGTCATCAGAGCTATGTCTTATTTAACATAATAATTTTCTTCCTATAGGTATTACAAAGTATTAGTCATCAGAGCTATGTCTTATTTAACATAATAATTTTCTTCCTATAGGTATTACAAAGTATTAGTCATCAGAGCTATGTCTTCTTTAACATAATTTTCTTCCTAAAAGTATTAAAAAGTATTAGTCATCAGAGCTATGTCACGAAGAGCTTTCGTTAACTTACAACATTAATAGAATTTATAATTTAAACCAATGATAAAAAATATTAATCTGACAAAAATAAACAGGAAATGAATTTAGAATATTGCATTATAAACTTTAAAGTGAAATCAAAAATTATCTTTAGAGGAATGATATCATACAATTTTATCCTCTTTTAGATATTGTTTAGAAGTGTGAAAAACAACAACTAATATTTAATAATCTTGCACAATCATCTTACACAAACTATGATAACAGATACATTTTTAACAACCGATTTATCAACATCCTAAATAACGAATAGCACCATTCAGCTCGTATGAAAACTCTTTTGGGATGGAACAAAATTAACATAATGATTTGTTAGATAGTATCAGTACATTCTACTACATTTCTTAGCGTAACAATGTATTCTATTTCTATTTATTTCCTAGAGTAACAAAATATTCTACAATAGTTGTCGTCTACGATAATAGATGTGTGTTTTTCTTATAGTAAAGCCACATCGGGCTCTCCGTTGTGTACATCGTGGGGAATCGAACCCCTGATTTTAGCAGTATAAATCCGAAGAGTTATCTCTGTCTCATATGATATTCTACTATATATATATATGTATCAGCATCAAAGGCTGACCAAATATAATATAAAAATGTACCTTTTTTACCAATGCTTCGAGAATTCATACATCCTTGCATCTTTAGAAATGGCATTAATAATTAGTTATGGAATGTTTCCATTTGAGGCTTTATAAAGTCTTATCTAAAGACATTTGGATTGATGACTAATATTCTGAAATGGAGTTAATTGAATTATTTTTTCCATTAATAAAAAATTATATCTATTACGACAGCTACGTTTCTGTCAGATCAAAGTTTTCTCAAGGCCGTTAGTTCATATGGGCTAATATTATATCATTCAAATTCTCTTTTATAAATAATTAACGCAGAGATGTCTAGCTATACATTTTCTCCTATCTAGTATGAACTGGTGACAGGACTTTCCCACCATATATTATGATGTCTCTCATTTGGCTGTGTCCAGTTATTTTTCTTGTAACTGGGAAAGAAGAGGAAAGCAAGAGATACCAGAACCTTAGAAAAGGACAAAAAAAAAAGCTTCGAAGAAGAATCTAGCCGGTAGGAAGTAAAAGTTAGAAAGAAACTTCTGCACACAAATCAGATATTGGTTAATTATAAGAAAACTGAAACCTACTAAACGCGGATATTGAAGCTTAAAAGTGGCCTGGTAGATGATAAATAGTTAACAAATTACCATAGAACACTTAGAAAATATTAGAAACCTAGAAAACTGGAACAGATAATAAAGGTGTGGCTACCGTCCACTACTGCTGGACTACCTAATTATACTCCTATTTGTATCATTTCATCCTACTTGGTCAATGGGTAGATAGATACTCTACAGTTTTACCTACATGTGACAAATAGTTCAAATATCTGTCCATCATGGTCTAAACCTAACGAAAGAGATATGACGAATGTCTTATGCCAACAAATTGTAATTCAACACGTAAGTTTTAAACAAAGAAGAAATATTAAAATCATACTCTCAAAAGTAATATTTACTTGCTTCAAGGAATTTGTGGATATTAAACTCGATTTCCTTTCTGGTTTCTTAGCCACATGCCCTTTTTTTTCATTTTGTTAATATGATAATCAATTAATACTAAGTGCCAATCCACTTGACCATATTGTCAAACAGATATAAGTGTCAAACAGAGGATGACAACAGAAATGTTCTAAATAGTGCTATAGTATTAAAGAGAAGATGACAACAGAAATATTCCAAATAGTGTCATATTATTAAACAGATAATAATAACAACAGAAATATTCCAAATAGTGCCATATTATTAAACAGAAGATGACAACAGAAATATTCCAAATAGTGCCATATTATTAAACAGAAGATGACAACAGAAATATTCCAAATAGTGCCATATTATTAAACAGAAGATGACAACAGAAATATTCTAAATAGTGCCATATTATTAAACAGAAGATGACAACAGAAATATTCCAAACAGTGCCATATTACTTCATTAACCGACCAGTAACCATGCTGGATTTCACTCTCTCTTATCGAATTCTTACATCTAGATGTATCCCTAAAGTGTAATTTTCTTGTAGTTGCGAGCTAACTCTCCTGCTTCTACAAAGTTTGTTGCTCATCCATTGATTAAAAAAATTATTTGTTTGTTTTAGCCGACCCTAATTTTCAGCTGACAGCTAGAAGAAAGGCAGTTAGTCAACACCACCCGTTGCCAACTCTTAGGCTACTTTAATTGAAAAGTGGGATTGGACCGTTACTCTAATGTAAGAAGGGCGATTTTTGCGGCAGTAAGATGCGCACTATAAATCATTTACAGTTTGGGCAGGCTAAATATTAGGCTATACCTGGTCCACAAAATAATCGCATAAAACGCCCAGAAAGCAGTATTTATTTTAGTTTACTTTTTGTGAGACAAGTTGCTAGATATTTCACATGTTGATCTATAGTTCAATACTTTCTGAATTTAAAGGCACTTTAAAAATCTCCTAAACTTATAGAATAGCACATTTGAAATGGATTAAATCTATTTTAGATTTCATATAGTTTCTTCTCATTTTACGAAACAAAAGACAGTTATTTAGATTTAACTGATCCCAATTTTACAAAGACGAAACATGTGCATAGGTTTTGGTCAACGCTAAGAGCTTTATTCCCACGTATCCTTCTCTAAAAGTAATATATAAATAAGAAACTGGAGGAGGGCGAGTGTTAAAAAAGATAAAACGGGACTGTAGACACAAAAAAATAATTATAAATTGAACTACTTTTGTTTCTTAATTTTGTCTTGCTTCAGAATAATTTAAATAACTATGGAATTAGTTATGTAGATCTGAATGCCTTTTATGTATATCTGTATAAATATAATAGAACTGTCTGTTGTATGTACATGTAACTACTTCGCAGGGTGTGGATAGATTTTCACCAAAATTGGTAAGGAGGTTCATTAGGTCCATGCGGGGGTCATACAAATTTTCAGTTTTGCGTTTTGCGGTTTTAGTCGGCGTTTTTGCGTTATTTACCACTATCTCACCTCTAGTTGATGGATCTTCACCAAATATTGTATGGAGATTCATTGGTTCCTTGGGGAGACGGAAACAAATTTTCAGTTTTTTATTTTGCGTTTTGCGGGTTTTATGGGTGTTTTTGTGCTTTTGCGTTTTTTACCACTACTTTGCCCCCCTATAGATGGATCTTCACCAAATTTGGTATGGAGGTTCATTGGGCCCATGGAGAGATACATGCAAACTTTCGGTTTCACATTTTGTGTTTTGCAGTTTTTATAGGGGTTTTTGCGTTTTTTACAATTACATATAAGGGAAGCAACTTTTCATGTCCTAAGATAACCTATCATTAATCATGGATTTACATAACTTCCGTCCAGAGCACGGGTACCTCCAGCTAGTTATTACTTTTGGCTTAGCGCCCCACTCTCTTGTTTTCAACTTCGAATTTATTTCTAAAACAAGCTTTTATTTATCAATGCGCTACAATATATTTTGTATATTTTTTTTACTCTTAGCTCTCAAAATTACTACTATGTTTACTGGGGAGCTTTTCTTATAATGTTACTCTCTTTAAAAGTCGAGAATGAAATGCTATATTACAGACTAGTCTAGCGAAGTAATATATTGAATCAGATTAATTTAGTGAACCTTAAAAAGGCGAGTATGCAGCTATCGATTTGAAGATTTATTATTTGTACTTAGTACCTATTTCGTTTCGGAAAATACGACGAAAAGATACAAATTCATATGTATGTAAATGAATGCCTGATTACTAGCCTGGGTTTAGTATTAAGAATGACTGATATGATAGTCATTTTGATGGGAGGAGCTCCTGCGGGAATCAAATTAGAAAGAAACAAACGCTAGGAGATTAAGAAAAAAAAGGAATCAGCAGGGTAAATATGCAAAGTAAGAACCTGAAAACGTAATTCCCTATTCTACAGTTGCTAGTTTTTCTGCATAATTATAAAAGATTTCGATTTAATTACTGAAGAGGGTTGAAGTAGAACACAAGTAATATATTTCAGTTCATGCTTCAGTTATCAGATTCAATCATTTAGATTTTCTACTGAGTTTTAGGAGATTTCTCTTGATGAAGAAAACGCCAGATTCTAAGACCTTTAAATGGTCAATTTTTATTTCAGTATTGTATTTTATTAACTAATGTGTTAAATAAACGATTATAAACGAATGAGACGTATTAATAAATATTATTACCACTACTACTCTTCGGATATCTTATCGTATTTGCGAACCTTATGAGCAAAAGTTCCCAGAAGACAATTTTCATTAACAATCTATGTTCATTTGGTTGAGATAATATAACTAAATTCGCAAATGTTTGATATATATAGTACTTCATAAATACATATGAAATCTCACGACTTCAGAGGAGTTTTATCATCAATTGAGAAAAATGAAATTGACTCCATTTCGGTTTTAATCAGAGCCTGTTCTATGAGCCGATATGCCACGGCTGAAAAAAATAAGCTCCCCTTCGGTTTATTGAACAAAAACACGTAAAAACTAGAGGGGCAATCAATAGAGCCCACACCTTCGCCACCCAGCGTTTATCATATTCGGTTCTCAAAAAATGCGAAAAATGGCCGG